AATGAAGCTCGTATAATTATGATTGAACTTCCTTACAGGTAAGTCGTTTAATCTCAAATTATACTTCGCTTCATTCCATCAGTCTAGAACACAATGGCAGTTGTTTAGAGAGTTTACATCATCGACTAGGCTTTAATAAATCATACAATTTAAGTACTAATCTTTATTATATAGCAGCTAACCAATATGAACAATTAAACAGATACTATATTTTACTTCTTAGGTAATGAGGTAACTAATCCTAACAATGAAACTTACTTCTACAAACAAAATATTTCTTATAACCTAAAAATATTTTTAGCAAATTCTGCGGGGTTTCGATTGGTCTATTATAATAGTTAAAAAATATTTCTGAATTTTTAGACCATCCTGCAGTAGCTTTTATAGTATCGATTGAAACTCCGCATCTAAGCGCTGCCGAAGATGACGCATGCCTGGTACTGTATGGGGTAAAGGTACTTACATCGATACCACTCATCTTCAGAACAGATTTTATCCATCTTGAGAGCGTCTGGGTAGAGGCAGCCCGATATGGTTTCTTGTAAGTTATAAATAGACGCGTTATATTTCCCCTCGAGGGTTTTGTGATATTAATATAATGTAGTAAAGTGGAAGCCACACAAAGTTCTGGTTTATTATAGAAAAACGGAAGACAAAGTTTAGGTTGATTTTTATTAGGTGCTGAAGTTTTTAGCAATTCTGTAATTATTATTTCAATTCGATCATCGAAGTTGGAAATGTTATTAATATGAATACTGTTAATAGTTTGAACTCGGTGTGCAGTACATAAAGATATTATGGTAACCAACTTAAGCGACAATTGCTCTAATGTAAGATCTTCCAACGGATATAATATTGACACATACTCCAGAACGCTATCGGGATTCCAAGTCTTAGTATATTTTGGAAATGAAGGCTTCAATTTAAAAATACCTTTAAGATATCTATTAAGAGCTTCAGATTGTTTAATATTTGGCACTATTAGAGAAATAGCCGATCGGAATGTATTTAAAGTGGAGTAACTACTTCCCCTTTCATATTCTGTTAACAAAAATTGCATAACATCTTTATCAGATGCACCAAAACAGAGCAATAGGTTTTCTTGACAGTATGACCACCATTTCTTATACACCACACTGTACTGCTTTATTGTAGATTTTGACAATGATGCCAACATTATATCTGTTATTTCTACAGAAAAAACCCTGGTTTAGGTACGCTCGCCGTATACAATCCCTGCCACCAGGGTAATATTCGACCATATAGGGTGGCTGCAATTAAAGGGAGATATCATTAGGTCTCTTTTTGGTTTAAACAAAATGGGTCTAAATTTTAGAAGTTTTAAGAAAACTGGATACCAACATTGAGCTTCCCAAAGAGGAACCACCACAATTCCTTCTGCTTTATCTAATATTATTTTATTAAGTACTCTCATAACCAAAGAAAACGGAGGAAAAGCATAAAATTTGTAATTGCTCCAATTTAAAGTGAAAGCGTCTATAGCGAATGAATCGGGGTCTTTCTTCCATGACACATATTTTGGACATTTAGCATTAGATATTGAAGCAAATAAGTCAATCTGCGGTTTGCCAAATGTTTCCACTATTTGGTTATATGCTGCTTGATTTAACGAGTATTCCGTATCAATAGTTAGCGAACGTGATTCCGCGTCTGCTACTGAATTACTTTTTGATTCTATGTAGGATGCAAAAATAAGGATATCTCTAGTCTCACACCACTGCCATATACAGCGGGCTAAATAGGCTAGCTTAGGATACTTTATGCCTCCCATTTTATTGATATAAGAGATAGCAGTGGTGTTGTCAATTCTTAAAAGTATTGAGCAAGATCTTTTATGTTTAGCAAAACTTTTAAGACCCTTATAGGCAGCAAGTAATTCTAAATGATTGATATTAAACTTTTTTGCATCTTCTGACCAAAAACCATGAATTTTTTCTGCATTACAACAAGCTCCCCATCCAGACAAGGAAGCATCCGAATAAATTATCATTTGATATGTAGATTGCTGCAAAGATGTTTTTGCTTGTGGTATGGCTGATATCCACCATTGTAATTCAGTTCGAATATCGTTATCAATTAATAAATGTCTATTATAGTCCCCACCTTCTTTTTTTAAAGCTAAATATTTTTTCCGTTCGAGGACTTTGGTGTAGAGGTAACCGTATTTAACTGCAGGGCAAATCGATATTAGAGAACCAATAATTCTCGCAAACCGACGGATTTTACAAGTTTGAAACTTTAAAATTGACCGAATTATTGTTATTGTATTGGTAATTTTTACCTGAGTTAGAGACAATGACATATCAACACTGTTAAAGATAAACCCTAAAAACGTTATTTGTTGAGTTGGAATGAGCGTACTTTTCTTATAATTAATTATGAAACCCAATTCTAGAAACAGTTCAATTGTAATTTTTAGATTATTATTGCATTCTAATTTTGTACTCCCTAACAATAAACAATCATCCAAGTAGTTAAGAATAAGAATATTTCTAACTTTTAAATATTGAGTAACAGGTTTTAAAATTTTTGTGAACAAATATGGCGCGACTGATAAACCAAAAGGTAAAACGTTAAATTGAAACATTTTTCCATTGTATTGAAATTTTAAAAATTTACGATGTTGTTTATTGATTGGTATTCCAAAGTAAGCATCCTTTAAATCTAGAGAGACCATGTAGCAACCTGGAGTAATTAAACTTTTTACAGACCTGTAATCATCTAACTTAAAATGTGGAGCTGTAATATAAGAATTTAATCGTTTCAAATTTAAAACAAATCTGTTTCCTCCACTAGACTTCGGTACTAGAAAAAATGAGGATATAAAGCCTTTCTTATTTAAATTACACGGTGATACAGCACCAATTTCTAACAATTCATCAACAGCTACCCTCATTGCCTGGTGATCAGAATGACAACATTTTTTTAAAAATGATTGATTCTGACAAGGTTTTAAATCAAATGGAATTTTGTACCCCTTAATAGCTTTCAAAATAAAGGTTTCTTTACAAATGCTTTTAAGTCAAAACTAGATTTCTTTAAAGCCTGTGCAGTTCTACACCTATTGGCAAGATCCATTCCAAAAAGCTCTTGATCTACTGGACCAACCTTGGCTATTTTCCTCATTTCAGGATTGAGCCTAGGTTCTAGCTCATGTCGACGATGGAGAGATATTAAATATTGGGAATGTGTAAGGAGCTTCGCAGCATCTGCCAAAGGTCCAACACAATCCGTAATGCTGTTTGTCGGCATTTTTAAGATCTGGTTAAAAACAGCTCCGAAGGCACTTAAACCCTTACCCAAACAAGTTTGTATATGCTCTAGGTAGGAGTCTTTTTTAATATCCTCACTGAGGCTAGCAACTTTACTTCCTCATTCAGTTTGGGAGGGGCAAGACTTTGAATATTATTTGGTACGGCCACTCGGTCAATAACTTGTCCCTAGTCTCCTTTAGTAGACTGGATGTGAGATAGCTCGACCAACGTGAGACAAGTCTTGTATCGAGATCTATCCCTTGAGGGCTTGTCTTACTTGGGTCCTCCCCTAGGGCAGTATTAATCAAGTCAGACTGCGCATTCTCGTCTGTGTTTTCTTCCTCTGAATCCGACGAAGCAAGGGGTTTGGCCCTAATCCTCTTAAAACGGCGTGGGGGGTCCGAATCTGACTCAGAACTTGAACCAGAGTCTGAAATAAACGAAATGTCGGACTCTGATAACCAAGAAGTGAAATAAGGAAGAAAATAAACAAATAAACAAATAAAAAAATAAGATAAATGAAAATCCGATGCTATATCCACGATATATATCACAAGAATATCACAGATACCATATACCGTTCCAGAAAGGTCTATAAAAAGATCAATACTTGCACAAAACATTGTAAAGCAAGTCGTTAGATTTTATTCCGCAAATTATTTGTACCTGCTTGCTTAAGAAAATAATGTGTTGTAAGGCCTATAAATAAGGTAAACCCTTACACATTGTTATGTAAAAAATTAAAATAAATAAAAATTCGAATGCTATATCTACAATATATTATAAGAAAAACACAGATTTTTACCATTACATTCGTGTTGAAAAGTCTATGAAAAGTCGATCCTTGCACAAAACATTATAATGTAAATCGTTAGAATTCTAATCTGAAAAATTTATTTTTGTATCGGCTTAATAAAATAAAATGTGTTGTAAGGCCTATAAAAGGTAAATCCTTACACACGCTTACGTTAACATCTATCAATTTTGTGATACAAGGCCTCTATGCGGTAAATCCTTGCACACCATTTATTAATTAAGTCTGTGTATTTTACGTATTGAAAATACGGCAAAATATTGTGTGGTAGGGCCTTTAAAAAGGTAAATCCCTACACACCGTTACGTAATTATCTCATAAAATATCTAAAGTGCAATGTTAACCTTATAATTTTGTAAACAAATAAACAAAAACACCGTCAGCCGAAATTTATATTAACTAAGTGATGAGTAATATTATATTTGCGTTGGAAAAATCCCAATAACCGTAACAATTGATTAAATTACTTACATGAGGAGTTGTTAGCTGATAATTCTGTGACAGCATTTTGAAGGTCTCGTAGCTGTCTTACAATTTCTGATAAATTATGTTTTCTTTTCGGCATTATTGAGCACTAACACAAGAAACACTTTATAGCGACTAATGCGTAAGACACTAAAAGCAAGAATGAGGCCAGACCGGGTGTGACCGGATGGGATTTGGTTTTATTTTCTTTTAACTGGTGCGTGATTCACAGCAAAGCAGTGATGCCATTGTGTTCTAGACTGATGGAATGAAGCGAAGTATAATTAATCAATATACTGTGACTATGTCTCAATCTGTGTATCACAGATATGTTCATTCGACACTCTTACTGTCCAAGTTTCTCAAGAATAAATCAACATAAATTTAAAATTTACACTAAAACAGCCAAACATTAGAAACTAAATAACATGTATGTTATTTTTTAGGTACTTCTTCAATAATGTAAGCAACCGTTGCGGTATAATATTTGTGACAAGACAACAAAGTAAAAGACAAGTAGCTTTTGGCAAACTAAGAGAATCGGAATACTTCATGTTTGATTCGAGTTGTCGAGGCAGTCCGATGTTTCTGCAAGGAACTGGAGTTGCGTATATTCTAAGAATGACAACCCTCAACAGATTGCTTCATGTACTAACGTTGACGTTAAGAGGTGGAGACTTTTATATTTACGAAGTGGAAGTTACTGATTTAAAACCAATTAATTAAAAATGTTATTGTTTTTGTGATGTGAAATTGGTTTTGAACCTAAAAAAATATGTTACCTAACTTAATTGTTTTTTTTTAGCTTAAAAATCTATTACGTCTTATTCAAGCACTTTAAAAAGTAAGTTTGATAATATTTCTATAAAAATTGTTAACGTTTTTTGACTATTATATGCTTCTGAGCAAATATTCTCTTCTTTATATTCCATTATTCTCTCCTTAATTTTTTAAACTACGGTGATAAATGTATTAAATTTATTTTTTAGCGATTTAGTCTTACATTTAATTTTTCGAACTTTATAACTGTCCACTGTTCAACGTAGCTCTGCAGTAAACTTTTACACTTAGTCTCATCTTGTCTTGTGACGCTTTTGTCTTCTGTCTACAGCAGGTTATGAAAGAAATATGCACACAGAAATCCCTCCCCAATGATTGGAATATTGAAATAATTTGCACCATACATAAGGAGATATCTTTGCATGCGTATAAAGTATTTTCCGCAGTACTATGTTACCGTAAGAACTGATTGTTGAAAAGTACCAGGGTGGTTTCAGAGGTGGTAAATCGACAATCAAATCATCAGACTGCAACCCTAAAACAAATTTAAAAAAAAACTGTGTAATAGAAATTAGGTTTTGAATTGTATTTAAGTATCGAATAAGATAAGGCTACTTCCTTAATATGGAATTGTCTATATTGTGAAAATCGTCCGCAAATCACGAATATAAAGAACTATAAAGGAAATCAATTATGTCATACAGAAGAAAATGAAGAAGAAATAAATTTTAATGGTACGATATTTGGTAATCAACCTTTTTTTATTTAATATTTTTTTGTATTTTTATTCAAGAAATAATATTTTAACTCTTATTTGATACCATATTTTCATAAAAATCCTTAATAACAAATTAACATAAAATTTCAGAAGACAAGATCTACTCTGTGCACCAGATAGCTCAAGGACCATGGTCATTATCATCGTTTTTAGCGACCTCGAGTAACAAATGTAAACTTATTTCGGTCGACATGTTTCGAGTTGCAAATTGTTTATTTTCTATGCACTTTGCAAATGCATTTTCCCTATACACAAAATGCAATTTTCATTTTACTACCACGAATTTTGTTAAACAACTTTCCGAAAACTTTCCCAAATCGAATGCAAAAAGTTGCATGGCGATTCATATTGCTGACGAAAATTTATATGCTTAGTGCTCCGTTGCCTTACCTAATAATACGAGATCAATTTTTAAACTATTTTATGAATGGAATACGAGATCAATTTTCAAACTATTTTATGAATGAAGTATTGGGGGATCCATTTCTTGCCGTCTTTACTACTCTGTTTGTTGTCCTCCGGTTTATATAATCGTTCCAATCTACTCTTCTATTTCTTATCCAGTTCTTGACATTCTTTATTTTGCATCTACGTCGTGTATCTGTACTTCTAGCTTTGTCTCATAGTGTCTAATCACCAATTTTTTAAGTGCATTCATCTTTGATGCTTCTAACATCCTTTTTGTCCTCTCTGTGTCAGGTTCTTGTTTCTGTCGCGTATGTCATTATTGGTCTGAAAGCTGTCGTAAATTCTGCCTTTCATTTCTTTCCCGATATTTTCATTTCTCCATATTGTTTCATTTAGGCAGCCTGTGTCTCTGTTTTCTCTATTCACTTGTTTTTCCACTTCAGTTTCGAGGTTTCTGTAGCTAGATAATGTGATGCCTAGATATTTATACTCCATCACTTGTTCTATTATCTGACCTTCCAGCTCCAATTTATATCTTAGTAAATTTGCTGTTGTAAACATGCATTTTGTCTTTATTGGGGAAATTAACATGTTAAATTTTCTGCCGGTTGTATTAAATTAGTGCAGCATACGTTGTAAATCATCTTAACTTTGATAGAGTAGTATTGCGTCGTCTGCATAACAGATTATTATATGATTATATTATTTTCTCTCATTTGGTATCTTTTTTTGGTTCTTACATTTTTTATTATTCCATCCATAATTATGTTAAACAATAGAGGACTCAGGTCCATTTGTCTTATTCCATTGTCAGCTTCAATAGGGTCGGTTACTTCTTCGTCTACTTTTACTTTTATTGTGCTATTTTGGTAGATATTTTCGATCGTTTTGTTCATTCCTAGAGGTATCTCTCTTGCGTACATTAAGTGGATAACGTCTTTTAATTTGACCCGGTCAAGTGCCTTCTTAAGATCCACGAAACATAGATATGCCGGTTCATTATTTATTATTATATTATATGGTGTCGGTGCATGATATTCTAGACCTAAAATCTTGTTCTTCTGCTAGTGTTATAATTCCATTCAATTTATTCGTTATCACTTTGGTTGTTAATTATTTTAGTGTTGTGTTTAATAAATTAATTCCTTAAATATATATATTATATAAATATATATCCTTATATATAAATATATAAATATCTCGTCCTCCGTACTTTAGGGGATAGTTCCATATTCTCTCCTCTTCTAGTGAGTTTCCATTTTTTAATTTCCTTAATACTTCCTTTACCTCTTCCTCCTCATTATATATTTCTTCGTTTGTCGTCATCTCTGGTGTCGGTGGTTCATTATCGTCACCTTTAGTAAATAGGATCGATTTTCTTTGTCCTCTGATCATTCTCCATATTTCTTTTTGTGTCCCGTAGAAGTTGTGTTCCATCTTTTTTGAGAAGCTCTGCCAGTTTTCCCTTTTTATTTGTCTAACTAATGTGTTCGTTTCATTTTTAATTCGTTTATAGTGGTTGTATGATTGTTATGTTTGTTGTGCTCTGTATTGTAAAAAGGCTTTTTGCTTTTCTTCACATTTTGTCTTCATTTTCTCTCTGAATCGTGGTATTTTCTTTTTTGATATATTAGTGTTCGTTACTTTTCTCTCTCCAAGTGATTTTGTTGCTACGTTAATTATGTTATTTTTAAATTTTTCCCAGCTTTCCTCGATGTTATCTTTTCTAATATTTAATTTCGAGCGATCTTCTCCGATATTATTTTTCTATTAAGTATTTTGTTCCGTATTTAGCCCTTCGACGTTGTTTCTTGTTTGTGTTGGCGCCGCTCTCTTGGCTGGGAAGTATTTCAGGATGATTCTTATTTTACATAATAGTATGCTATGGTCGCTACCTACATCTGCTGAGGCATCTTACGTCAATTATTTTCGATGGAAGTATATATCTGTTGGTTATTACATAAACTATCATAGATCTTTGTCCACCGGTGTTATTAAATGTATCTTTGTGTTGGTCTTTGTGGTTAAAAAATGTGTTGTTAATTCTTAGTTCGTTATTCGTGCAGAAGTTTATTATCTCTTTTTTAGTCTTTGACATCCTCGTTATGTTTTTGCTTAATTCCAGGTATTACTTGATTCATCTTTGGAAGTTCTTGTTTATATTTATAGTGTACTAGTTTTGGTAATAGGCTTATGGGCTAATAGATTAAGGTTTTATAAGATTCAATTAATAGACATCAAATACTTCTTTTAAATACTACTTTTAAACCATTGATTTGATTATCTTTCCTTTAGCATTAAAAAGTTCATTTCAAATCACTTAAGTTTAATTTTTTTATTTAAACAGAGGTAATAATACTTGTGGAATAATACGGTAAAAGTAATACCAGAAATCTAATGTATCTAACTTATGATGAAGGATATAAAGTAATACGTTGAAGAGTTAAAGGCTTTATTATATAAAAGTACAAGCTTATATAAATTAAGTACAATATATATTACCTATGTTTTTTATCTATTATAAAACGGACGAATTAAACATTAAGGCAAAGTGCATATAGACTTTGGTTAACTACAATAAATCTAAGTTGTACATGAGTTGCTATTAAAAATTACCAGTAGTATTTTCATTAACTTCGTGATCATAATATAAGGCAATATGTGTAATAAGTATAAATTCCATACTTAATATTAAAAAAATACCGTTAACTAAAAATTTAAAAAGTTGATGTAATTAATACTAATAAATTGGTGGTGAAACCACGACAGCTTGAAATATCGACAATGGCTAGTGCCACATTATTGAAACATCCGTCAAACTTTCTCCACAAAGAAAACTAACTTTCGAACGGTTGCATACACTATCTTAATGATATCAACAATGTTTAAAATGGAAATACTTTACCAGTGGTTAAGATAAGGTCGTAAAAGAAAGTAATTGATGAAATGAATGATAAAAGACAGATCATCAAATCTTTGGACGAAATGATGAAAAATTCAGTAATTAGATGGTACATTTACCGACAGAATTAACTGCCCATCTACGTTATTCATTAAGTGGGTATTTAAGGAATTAATAAAAAAATTAAAATACTAACATTTTTGTGTTTTACTTTTTGTGTTCATCAACGTTTTTTTTTTTCATAAGGTTATATTCCTGGGTCTCTTTTTTCTCTACAAGCCGTCTGTTAGACACCGCCCGTTTTGCTCATACCGGTCTTTCTACTGATTTTAATTTCTTTTGTGTTTATTTCTGGATATTGAATGCTGTCCTATTATTAGTGATGACTACGTTTAAAACCTTAAAATGACCAAAAATATAATTAGATCAGACTGGCGCAGTTAGGTTTGTGGCTTTTGCCTATGATGGATATAGACAACGTCAGATCGCTGTAAGTCGGTATTCCTTGTCCTATATTGTTAATATCACTACAATAATGGTTCTTATTTAAAATTTTAGTTGATGTCAACGACTCGTAAGAAGAAGATTAACTGAAACATATTTTAGGGCGTCTATCATGCTCGGAGCCATATACTTCTCCCCACATCGTCGTAAATGCTCTGATTTATGCGGAATTACGTTACTTGTACTATTGAAGATGACAGGAAAATAGTGTTCTAAGTACGTTTAGAGAACTGAGCACAGGTGTATATAGGCAACCAAGGGAGATATTTACTTCATGCGATATAATAGAAACATGGCGGTACCAAGAAGACTCAGTAGTCTTCTTTCAAGATCATGTGGTAACATTCGCGGCTT